TGCATCCACAGATGCATCTCGAGCAGGTCCAAGGAGGTGATCCTCCCCCTCTATGCGGCACTGGTCAGGCCGCAGCTGGAGTACTTCATCCAGTTCTGGGCGCCGCACTTCAGGAGGGATGTGGACAACATGGAGAGGGTCCAGAGGAGGCCACTCGCATGGTCAGGGGTCAGCAGGGCAGGCCCTATGAGGACAGGCTACAGGATCTGAACCTGTTCAGCCTCCACAAGAGGAGGCTTGCGGGGGGTGGATCTAGTGGCCGTGTATGAACTGGCCAAGGGGGACCAGCTGGCAATGGGAGAGTCCCTGTTCCCCCAAGCACTACTCGGAGTAACAAGAAATAACGGCCATAAGTTGACTGGGAGTAGATTCAGACTAGACACCAGGAGGCGCTACTTCACAGTTAGGGTGGCTAGGAGCTGGAACCAGCTTCCAAGGGAAGTGGTGCAGGCTCCTACCCTGGGGGTCTTCAAAAGGAGGCTAGACAATCTCCTAGCCAGGGTCGTGTGACCCCAGTACTCTTTCCTGCCATGGTAGGGGGTCGGACTCGATCTGCTCAGGTCCCTTCCGACCCTACCAACTATAAATCTAGTCCAACCCCTGCTCCAACTACATCATCCCAGCCAGTGCTTTGTTTTCCTGGGTTTTAAAAGCCTCCAAGGATGGTGACTCCACCACCTCTCTGGGTAACCTGTTCCAGTGCTTTACTACCCTCCTAGTGAGAGGTTTTTTTTTCCCCTTAATATCTATCCTAAACTTCCCTTGCTGCCACTTGAGCCCATTGCTCCTCAGTGGTGGCAGATGGCAGAACAAGAACAGTCCAGCTCCATCCTTGTTCGAACCCCCCTGCAGGGAGGTGAAGGCTGCTATTCAATTCCTGCTCATTCTTCTCTTCTGCAGACTCAGTAAGCCCGGTTCCCTCAGTCTTTCCTCACGAGCACCAGTCTGTTGTAAACAGGCCTAAATTTATGAATCCATTTTAGTGCACAGATTTCTTAACTAGACTCTTACTCCTGAGCATTACTAGTGTGTTGAAAATCTTTGGCAAAAACCAAATTCTTGAATATTATTATACCACTGTTCAGATCTCCTCACTCTCTTGTCAGACTTGGCTTCAGTCAGCAAGACGTAGCTCAGGCTTCAAACCTGGCAGTCAGTAGCTTGCAGCAACCCTTTCACTGGAAGATTTTCTTCTCTAGTCTTGTAGCCAAGCTACAGCCTCCCTGGCACCATTCCCTTTAGACTGGGGAGCTCCATCCCCTTCTGGTTGGGTTTTGCGTAGGCTGTTCAAACCTAATGGTGGTCTGACCAGTGCAAGCCGTGTGTTCCAGCAGGGGAGAGTGGAAGGCATTGTGTTGTGCTCACGGCTATAGTCGTGCAGTATGTGCTCAGCCTCTGAAATGAAGTTTGAAAATCCCTTTCAAGTGGGAGGTCACAATGCAAAATA